AGGATAATATTGTCTATAATCTGTCGATTTTTAAGAAATCCTACCTGATTTGGTGAGATCAGCTCATGCAAAATAAGTTGTAATCTATTGACCATCCATTTCGAGATCATCTTATATGCTACATTGCATAGACTGATAGGGCGGTAATGGACTGGGCATTCTGGAGATCTGTTTTTGGGAATTAAGACAAGGTTTGTGTTATTCAATTCTTTTGGTAAATACCCAAAATTATAGAACCTAAAAGAAAGCTGAGTACCCGTTTGGCCCAGGGGCTTTATGCGGATTCATTTGTTTCACTATCAAAGTGATCTCATCCCTTGATGGTGGATGTTAGAAGCTTTCTCATTGTTTAGCTATCAATGAAGGGAGGGAGAGATTGTCTAAAAATGTTAAGTCAGAGTGCTCTTTTGCATTTCCATAGGCTTCCACAAAAGATTGAAAAGAATTCTGTATCTCYTGTTTGTCCACTATCCTTTATCCTCCACTGCCATTAATCCAATAAATTCCATTTCTTCTTTTGTGTTTCACCATTTGATGAAAAAATTTTGTATTGCGGTCTCCTACTGAAATCCAAAGTTTACGGGACTTTAATCTCCATAATTGCTCTTCTCTTTGCAGCCATTCGTCATATTGTATTTGTAGTGAATTGAGTTGTGATATGTTGTTGTTGTCATTGTCTTGTGACTGCAAGTAATTGATTTGGGCTTCTATTTTGTACAATTGTTCCTCGATTTTTCCAAATTTCAATTTGCTCCATTCCTTCAATTAATTTTTACAAGATTTCAGCTTAGAGAGGAAAGTGTAACCTGGGGAGCTCTGGTTGCTGTTTCATGTCTTTTCAATAAGCTCCTTACATTCCCTATTTTCTGCCCAATATGGTTGGAATAGARCTGGCTTTTTAGGGATTGTTGGGTGGGTAGCATGTCTAAGATGATGGGACAATGATCTGAATGTATGACTGGTAGATGCCTAATCGTAGCATATAGAAATAAGTCCATCAATGACTGGGTTGCGAATGCCTTGTTGAGACTCTCCCATACTCTTTCAAGATTGTTTTTCCCATTGTTCCATGCGAATGGTGGACCTATGAATCCCAGGTCTTAGAGGCCAAAGAAGTCTATGAAATTGACAAGGGATTTTGATATTTTGCACTTGCTGACACAAAACACTACTGTTATTGGTCCTAGCTTATTTAGGACTCTTATGTGGATGAGTTCGATGGAAACTTATCCTCACAAGAGTCCTCTTGGGCTGGTAAACTAACAACCCGAATGAGCTGACTCCGAATGTAAACTAGATGCATGCAGAGAAAAGTACTTTTTCTCTTCACCTACCAACCATTGAAGAAATCTGTGGCTCTTTGCAACACTACGTACAACATCTTCTATGGAGTTTGTCATGGGGTTCCACCAGAAGCCATGCGCATTAATTTAAGCCAATCCAACCATTTTGCTTGGCCTACTAACAATTCTTCAGTATATAGCTTTTGGGTTTATCATTCATTTCACCAAGCTTTAGAGCTGGTAAGAAGGAACTCACTTGGTATCTTTGTCGGGATGATGCAACAATTGATGTGTGGGCTAACAAAATATGATGCATTGAAGTGTAGGGCTCCATTCTGGGTTTATCATTCATTTCACCAAGCTTTAGAGCCCGTAAGAAGGAGCTTACTTGGTATCTTTGTCGGGATGATGTAACAACTGATGCGTGGGCTAACAAAATATGATGCATTGATGTGTAGGGCTCCATAGAGGAGTTACCGGCTGAGAGGTTGGTGAGACCACCTGGAAATGAACATCATTGAGGAGGAAATATATGTTCTGGTATCATAGGCTAAAATCAATGTTTTTGCCATTGACCCAAACGATCGGACTGTTTGGACTGGGAACTGTTCACGCAACCGGTTTCATTTTACCCTAAACCCCGTCCCCAGTCAAAAACTAAGTCTGCAACTTAGGCCGAATTAGCCCAAACCTAACCCTAATCCAACCCAAAAAAGTTGGGTTAGGTTGGGTCGGGTTGATGCTCGAGTTAAGGTTACGGTTGAAATTTATGAACCCAACTTTACTTCGGGTTGGGTTAGGGTTGACCCCTTGGGCAACCCGACCCAACCCAAATACGACTCTATAGTACATTGATTTGTTTAGATGCATGATAGTTGTATAACCCCACTACATACTATGATTTATTTCTTTTAATATAATCACTTCACTTAATCCTAATTGGAAATACTAAAACCTTAATAACATATTTTATATTTTTTGAAAATTTTATTCTTTATTTCCTCTATGTTGTTTGCCACCTATAGCTTGCTACCCATAAAAGATTTATTATAAGTCATAACTCATAATAAACTATAGTCATTTCAAACACTTTTTTTCCTAAATTTTGTACTTAAAGAACTAATAAAAACATCAACAAATAAATACTAATAAAACATAGGACTAATATATATAGTGAAAGTTGAGTTAAGATCTGAGATTATGAAGTTCTTCGAGATTATAAGCTAGGGATGGGAAGAAGGTTGGGTTGGGCCCAACCCGAGCCTGGCCCAACCCCAAAGTAGGGTTGGGTAGGTCAAGTTGGGTTAGGGTTAGGATTGAGGTTTAGAACTTAGGGTTGGCCTCAACCGGACCTAACCCAGCCCGACTTGCAACCCTATAAAAAACCATTGAATTGGTCAATGATCCATTGACCCGGGTGGTCGAACCGTCAACTCGTTCAATAATTTTTTGCCATTTTTAATTTTTAATAATATTTTGTCAGAACAGGTCGTCTGTTCAAAAACCGGTGGCTAGAACAATTTTGGTTCTGGATTGATTTTTAAAACATTGACTAAAATAGCATAGACATTAGGCTCATCGATGGTGGTCTGATAAGAGACCTTGTCACCAAACTATCTCTAAACCAAACATCTGCATAGGCTGTGAGATCTTCCATGTTTCAAAGAAAAAAACAGATAGCTCTATATATATAACAAGTAAAAGGCCCTAAGCTCATGTAGAATAAAATGTATCATAGTATACTAACACCATCTTGAGGCTCAACCAACCTCCATATTCATCCTCAAGTATTTGGAGAAGATCCAAATGGTAAAGAGTAACGTGTGGTTCAATCCCTATTTGGTCCACAAGAAAGGAAGTTAAAGAAAGCGATGCTAGAGCATATCATCCAGCAATAAGCATATACAAGCAGCTAGGGAACTTGGCTAAGGCTCAAGAATTGAATCACCTGGGTAAATTGATCATAACACTTACAGGCCGAGTCCGAATACCAACACAATTACTGTGCCCGTACTAAACTTCTATATGCCAGCCGAGGCCCATAACCATGGGCAATCAATTCATTGATTAGAATGTTTTAGTATTCAAGGCCTTGACATGCTGGCCTGTGGGTAACACAACCCACTTTACAGTTCTACAAAATAAATAAAAAGGGMAATTTGGGGTTTTAAAATTTTTTGAAGAGTTGAATGAGAATATTTTTCAAACAAACTGATGGAACTCCAATGAAGAGGGCTATTTGTCGCAGAGTGAAAGTTGAGGGTGTCTTTGTTACAAATGAAAGTTCAAGGGATAATTGTCACCGATTCCATAAAAATTCTATCAGAAAAAAAAAACTTATTAAAAATGTAAAAGAAAAAAAAGGCTAATTACTGGGTTACACAACACACAATAGGGGAWTTACTAGCAGCCTTGTAGTGTTTTTTTGAGGCATGTTGACCATATAGGAGAGACGTCTAGTGACTATTTGGATGAGCATATCTCCAGAAAGCTGTTTGAAGTGCTGAATTCACTCCCTATCTGCCAAATTACCCCTTCCTCCTCTTTCAGCCAGCCCACAACTATTTTTGAATCCCCTTTAATGGTTAGTCTCTCAGTCCCCATTTCTTTAGCCTTCACCCCATAAACTGTTGCCAATAATTCTGATCTCACCATTTCACTTTGCTGAATAGGACCTGAATACAATTGTAGGATGTTTCCATTAATTTTCTTCTCTAATTACCCCACCAATACCCAATGGGCTAGGATTGCCCATACAACTATCATCAAAATTCAATTTCTTCCACCCAACACATGGGGGTGACCAGACCTTGCATTCCTGGACTTTTAACTTTATTCATTGAATGTGCACGTTAGTGTTTTAAAAGTACAAGGAGAAAGTGAGGCATGTGCCTTTTTGAAGAAAGGACAAAAAATGCAAAAAATAAAAATAAAATTTTTAATTTTAAAATGAATGTTTAAAAAAGCTATTATCTTAAATTAACATACATAAATATAACAATGTAAAATATAACAATGTGATATTAAACATTTTGCATTCTTGATTCTATGAGCTGCTTTTGTATAAAGCCCCTAGGGGCCAATTGGGAAGCCCTTAACATGGATTTATTTAGGCTTGCCTTAATGGACTTGGTAGGGAGGCCTAGAGCTTTGCCCCTAGACAAGCTGCCTTTTGAAAAGAAACAAATGCGCAAATTTTGCGAAGGCATACACCTTTTGAAAGTTTTGCGCCTGGGGCCTAAGAGAGGCACATACCTTAAAATGTGCCTTGCCTGTGCACCTSTGGCAAGGCGCAGAAAAAAACTCAAGGGCCATATTGTGCCCGAGGTGCAAGGTGCATGGCAAGGTCTATGCCTTTTTTGAAGCAAGGTGCAAAAATGCAAAAAAAAAAAAAAAGCCTTTAATCTCTTTATTTTTTCCCAATTGCATTACTTTAAATAGGTAATGTTGCTCATTCATTCAAATTTTTTATTAAGAACACCCCGTACTTAAATGCACCAACCAAAATTTAACATTGATATATCCTCAGGTTCAACCCATACATTTTATTAATTATTTGTAGAACAGCCTTCCTTCAAGGCTACTTTGTGTATTAACATTAAGGGCACTCAGTGGATGATGGGTAGACTATTTGTTTATTAGTAAAGCTAGYTAATTAATGGAGGTTTCAGATAATTTCCTGAAAATAGTTTATTAACTCCTTTCCATAATTAACAAGCTGTGTGGTTCCATATGATTCTCTAATGGACTCTTTTAGTTGCAGTAACCATACACGCTAAGCAAAATAACTACTCTGAAGAATAGGATTTGGCCCTCATCCTCCCTATTTCCATGCTTCTGTTCTTGAGGAAATTGGAGTACCACTGAGCTGATAACTTGGGTCGTCTCCTAAACTCCTTATCCTGGAAGTCCACATGAACAAGCCCGTACCGAGTCTGATATCCACTAAGAACCTCAAACACGTCTAAGAATGACCAAACAAAGTACCCTCTGGTGCTTGATCCATTCATACAAATTAAAACAACAAACAAGTCAGAATAATCCTTTAGTACTGATAGAGCAGAAACTCCATATTCTGTGGTGATGCTGGAAGTAACCATCTGAGATTCACCTTATGGCATTAAGCACGCTTTCCATGAACCCTTTAATGTAATCTATCCTGGCAGTGTCGTTAAGCGTCTCATTTCCTGGCGCGCCATAACCTAATCACACATGACAAGTAAACTTCTTGGTGAATATCTAGTGAGTTGCAAAGAGCGAGAGCGAGAGATTGATTGGTGATTGTACTAATGTGATGAGAATCATGGGATGCCTTATTTTGATTTACCATTTTCTTGAACGTAAACAGAAAGGTTGCCATAATAGTTCTTGAAATATTGAAGCAATTCCTGCAAGCCATCTGGGTTGAAGGTCGGAGAATCTGGTGAGAACTGACTCGAGGCTGTGCTATCTTTATTCACTGCAATTCATTAATTGTTGACGAGAGTTAAAAGATTTTTTGTTTCCACAAACATCATCTAGATATATGCTCTAGAATATTACTGATCAAAAGCGTCGAGAGTGCAACCTGAAAACTTTACAGCCATGTCTAGATTGAAGTCTGGAGGTCCTATGGTCGATTTGTTGGAGTCATCTTGAATGTAAATTGTGAAGTAGTGATTCAAACCAATAAAATCTGATGACCCTTTTACAAGTTGAGATTGGCTTTTAGTGAAGGATGGGAGCCTTGTCCCAACTMTCTTCCTCATGGTCACAGGGTAATCTCCGAACACCAGGGGATYGAGAACCCTGCATGCAGTTTCATGTTTGATCAACCCAATTAAACAAGCTGCTTCTGGATGTAAGCTAGCTAGATGCATATATCCACCAGAAAAGTATTGTTTGTTTTTATTCACTTACCAACCATTGACGACATCTATAGCTCTTTGCGATGCTATAGCGTCTGCTATGGAGTTTGTCATAGGTCTACACCAGAAGCCGTACATGTTTAAGCCTATCCAACCATTTTGTTTGGCCTGCAAATTAAACAACTCTTCAATGTACTCAGTTACTTGGTTAATTTGTCATTCCTTTCACCAAGCTTCGATCAGAGGTAATTAATTAAGAAGGCACTCACTTGGTATTTTTGTCTGTACCATGCAGCAGCTGATGCGTGGGCTAGCATAATGTGTTGCATTGCAGTGTAGGGCTCCACAGAGGAGTTGCCGACTGAGCAGTTGAAGACACCACCGGGAAACGAGCACTGCTGGGGAGGGAATAATCCGGTGTCATAGGATGCGATAACCATGATATTGGGCTCATTGATGGTGGTCCAGTAGGAGACCCTGTCACCAAACTCTCTAAAGCAGACATCTGCATAGGCTGTGAAGTCATCCCTGTTTCAAAGATAAACCAAATACCCCTATATACACAAACAAACTGTCAAACCCTAAACCCTAAATCCTAAGCCCTAAATCCATGTTAAAAAACAAGTTTGACAGGGAACTAACACAATCTTGGGGCTCAACCATCCTCCAAATTCATCCTCCAGTATTTGGGGAAGATCCAAATGGTAAAGCGTAACGTATGGTTCAATCCCTATTTGGCCCACAAGAAAGGAAGTTAAAGGAGAGGAATGTTACTATCTGAGCATATCATCCAACAATCAGCATATATACAGGCAACTAGTTTATGATCACTTGGCTAGGCTCATGAATTGGATTGCCTGGGTAAATGGATCATAACACTCACAGGCCGAGGTAAGTTCCATAAACTCTTCATACGCTTAAATGGAAGGTAAGTAATCTGAATTCAATCCTTTGCTTACCGTGGGAAATCAATTCATTGATCAGATTGTTGTAGTACTCCAGGCCTTTTGGATTAACTTCTCCTCTCCCATCTGCCACCAGCAAATATAGCAATTCCTCTCGGTATATATATATGCCAAACAAGATAGCCATACTAATATGAAGCCATTATCGAAGTTCAGATATATATACTTGGGCTGAGTCTTGACCAAGATATAGAGAATCTATAGCCTTCAAGGTCTATGTTACTCATGATCTTCACATCCTTCTACAAGATTTGTTAATTCAGAGATGAGAAACACTCATTTTAGAGAGAGAGAGAGAGAGCAATTGAAATACTTATAAGCAATGATCAGACAGCATCGTAAAAATGGTAACCAATCATGTCCTATTCCTCAAAATTCATTAGGCTGAGTTTGGAAGGAATACAARTGCAAATATGTAGAGTGCAAAACCTTATATTTTATATTATTTTGTATGTATTTATACTGTACATATTTGTATTTGTACTGCTTCCAAACTGAGCCTTAGGAGTTTTGATTGGTCAAAGTTCTTTCTGTATCATATCAATCTTATCTTTAAACATTTTTAAATTCTTTTTCTAAAACATGGGAGATGAGAGACATGGCTATACAGACATTCTATACTTCGTAGGAGTGAAAATAACTCCTCAGTTCTTTCATCACACCATTTTCTCCCATGGAAACGAAGATAACTGGAAATTTCAAAATGATATGTTTCCTTAATTTCTTAGGGGTCGTTCAGCAGTGTGGTAAAAAATTGTAGATGACATGGATAATCTTCGTTTGCTTGGCTCAATTATTCACGAGATTTTTATACGTATATGATAATTTGTGATATTGGTAGTATCACCACCACCAACTGATGGTGTCTCAGATGGTAGGATCTCTCAAAGGGATGGGGGATGGGCTACCCTCCGTTTTGTAGCCCCTTTGAATTTGATTAATAAAAATTATACCATATATACTCTCAAGTCTCAGGAGAACATCCAATGGATATAATGTTTAAGGGTGTTTACAAGTCGGTTTGGTTCAACTTAGGTTGTTTGGTCAATTGAATCAACCTAATCGAGTTGGGGAGTTGGTCATCATCACCTGAAACTAGCTGAGCATTATTGAAAACCGGCTAAGCCGGGTTGATTGGTTTGGGTTAGATTATCGGTTTGATTGGTCGATTCAAAAGATTTAAATTTAAAAAATTAATTTTAATAATTTAAATTCACAATACAAAATATTTTAATTTAAACTAAGAAATGTAGGAATTTTCCCACTTTCTCCCATATTAAAAATTATAAATTATAAATTTAAAATATAAAATATTAATATATATCTACGACTGGGTTGGGTCAGTTTTGGTCGTTTTATACATTGCCAAACCGAAACCAACATATTAATATTTTATCTTTGTTTGCAACATGGTTCCAATATGATCTGTAACTGTACATATCACTAAGAGACTGGACCTATCATTAGGGCTGCAAGTCGGGCCAGGTTAGGTTGGGTTGAGGCCAACCCTAGCCCAACCCTAAGTTCTAAACCCCCAACCCTAACCCTAACCCAACCCAACCTAACCCAAAGTCAATTTCGGGTTGGGTTGAGCTCGGGTTGGGCCCAACCCAACCTTCTTCCCATCCTTTAAAACCCCATAGAATTTCTTGATTTTAGATCTTAACTCAACTTCCAGTAAATATATTAATCCTATGTTTCATTAGTACTTGTTTGTTGACGTTTTTTTTTTTTTTGTTCTTTTGGTACAATTTTCAAAAAAAACAAGTGTTATGACTTACGGTAGATCTTTCTTGGGCGGCAAACAACATAGAAGAGATGAAGAATAAAATTTTCAAAAAACATAAATTAATGTTATTAAGGTTTTAGTCTTTYTGATTAGGATTAAGTGAAGTGATTATCTTAAAAGAAATACATGATGCTATGTGGTGGGGGCTATACAAATATCATGCATCTAAACAAATCAATGTATGTTATATATTACATGTAACATATATTTATATATGGCATGTACTATAGAGTCAGATTCGGGTTGGGTCGGGTTGCCTAAGGGGTCAACCCTAACCCAACCCGAAGTAATGTTGGATTCATGAATTTCAACCCTAACCTTAACTCGAACATTAACCCGACCCAACCCAACCCAACATTTTCGGGTTGGGTTAGGGTTGGGTTTGGGCCAACCCAGCCCTAGTTGCAGCCTTACCTATTGTAGAAACCACTGATGTGGTCTCCACCTCTTTCTATTGTACTCGTATACAACTATTAGTTATTTAAGTGTTAGTACAAAATTAGTTGTTAGTCTTTTATTAGGACTTTAGTCTTTTATGGACTTTAGTCTTTTAATGTATCAAGAACAGTTTAGGAGGAAAACACTTTCAGTCGAACCTTCGAAATAACCAGAAAAGGTAATCCTTTTAATAGAAAAGATTGACTTACTTCAACAAAATTATGGCCGCAACCTTCAAAAATAAGTCTGAACCCTAATCTTGAGGGTTCTTCCTTCTGACTCTTCCTGATTGCTAATCATCCTTTGATGCTTCACCAACAATCTCCAAGACTCAGCCGATGATCCCTTTTGCTGGAAATTTTCCAACCCTAGGAAATTCTTATGCAGCCAGCCATGTCAGACTATCATAAGATTTCTTAGGTTGGCTCTGATACCATATAGTCGTATGAGACTACTGACAACCCAAGATGTAGTGTATAATCAACAGGAAATTAAGAGGATGAGAGGAGAGAATGAGAGGAGGAAGAGAAGAGAAGAGAAGAAGATTTCGAAGGAAGGATTTCAAAAAAGAAGTGGATGCTTAATCTGACGCCCCCCTCTTTCTATTTATATTAATTCTAAAGTAAGGATAAGACTGCTTACATGGAAAAATTAAAATCCTAATAAAAGACAATAATTAAAGTCATAATAAAAGACTAAAAGACTAAAGTCCTAATAAAAGAATAACAACTAATTGTGGACTGACACTTAAATAACTAGTAGTTGTATACGAGTACAATAGAAAGAGGTGGGAATCACATCAGTGACAAAGTCCCCCCTGTACTTTTTTTTATGACAAAGACCCCCTAAACTTTAGTTGTTAGACAAAGACCCCCTAGGCCGTTAAGTCAGATCACGGAAAGTGTTAAATTACAAAGGGTAAATTGTCTTTTTACAAAATAATAAATTATATATATGATCAGATTGGGTCTTTTTGGATTGGATTGGGGGTGATTAGAATTCGATCTGAATTCCAAATGGATCCAATTTTGTGATTCGATCCAATTCAAATTTCTGAAAGGGGGTATCTGAATCCACTATTTTTGGATTGGATTCAAATTTGAATTGGATCAAAATTGGATCCATTTGCACCCCTTAATTTAGATGACCTTGCAACTAAACTAATAATTTTTATTTTTTCACAAAAAAAACTAGTATTCTTAACGATTTTTTGCTCTGACAACTCCTGAACTTTGCAAAAAGGTCAATTTCGATCCTAAAGAATTTAAAGAGCGATTTTAGACCTCAAACTAAGGCCAACGTTAGCCAAAAACATACGGTGTTAGTGACACCATTAACAAATCTGTTAAATAATAAATAAAATAATAAGAAATGCTGATGTGGCATTGTTCAAATAAAAAAACTAAAAAATTACAAGCGGGTCCCATAAAATAAAATCTATTTAATGTATAAATTAATAAATGTTGAAAAAATATATAGATAGGTCTCACTTGAAATTTCCTCTTTTAAGAGAAAAATAATAGATGGATCCCACCTATAATTTCAAGTGGAACCCACGTATTATTGTTCTCTTAAAAGAGGAAATTTCAAGGAATTGGGATATGTTCCTCATAGAGCATGCCTCACACCGACCTCACAGCCACATTACCACTCTGTATTGGAAACATCTCCCTATGAATAATAAATACATGTACGAGAGATGTTCCCGATATGCAACCAAAACATACTGTAAAGTTAGCGTGAGGCGTGCTCTGTGAGGGGCAAGATCTTGACTCGAATTTCAAGTGAATATCTCATAATGGAGTTTGGATGAGCTACCAACACACGGTGCCAACATTGCCCCAACCGACCATCGTAGGCTTTGTAGCTATACATTGGGAGCATCTCCCCATGAAGAGTTTACATCAGCGCCCCATAGAGTGCAATACACGGTTTGGATGTGCTTTGGGGCGCCGGTGGGGAGCAATGCGAATTTCTCATGAATATCTCAAGGGAGATGTTTCCAATGTGAGGCTGCAGTGGCTAGTTGGGACTAGGTTGATACGTAGCGTTCTGTTGTAATAGATCCCTACCCCTCTTGAAAGTTGGAACAGAGAGATAACTTAGAGATAATCCTGGAGGAGCTGGGTCCTGTTATTAAATTGGATGATGATACTGTGAAGTTGGCAAAGACCTTGTATCCAAGGGTCTGTGTCAAAGTTGATCTTACAGGCCCTTTCATTCTGGAAATTCCTGTCACCCAAGGTGGAATCCAAAGTCATATAAGAGTCTTCTACGAAAACATCTTCGACCTCTACATCAACTGTGGTTGGAGAGGCCATAAGTTCTATGAATGATCAAAGAATAAGAATGAGAAGATTGAGGATGGATGGTCTCTTGTCCAAAATAAGAGAAGATCCCAAGTTCTTAGATCTAAGGATGACCTTAGGAAGATTCGAGAACAACCGATAGAAGAAAGGAAAGGTTTTGGAACAATAGAGCCGACCACTGGACTTAGGCTAAGATGGTTAGGGTGGGGATGGCAAAAGAGGTGCCAGGGATGAGATTTATTAGTGCCAGTCATGCTACTAAAATACCTGTCAAGTTGTTAGACATTTGACATATTATCCACTAAAATACCTGTCAAGTTGTTAGAGTCCTCTTTTCCATTTAATTTGGATCTACCTGGATTGGGTGGGTCTTTCTTTAGTTGGTTCAATAGTAGCATCCCAATCCCTTTGTCTTTCTTCATCTCCTGAAAAGATCCATTTAATTTGGATCTACCTCCTCTCATCCTCTTTTCAGGAGATGAAGAAAGACAAAGGGAAAAGGTTGTTCATGAACAAATCATAAGGAAGAGGAGCAAATAGACATGAAAAGTGGCAACCAACAAGATGATGAAATCGATCAGATGGATGATCAAAAGTCGAGGTTGAACTGGATTAATTTAGGGGGATAGGAAGAGCAAGTTTTTTCATTTATCAGCCACGGTGAGAAAGGCCAAAAACAGAATTACGTTCATTAAGAATGAATTGGGGGAGAGATTGGAAGATCATATTAGCATTACTAATCATTTTGTTGAGGCTTTTGAGAAAGGATTTCATACTGTGGGTACTTATGGCATCGATGAATTTAATGGTGTCGTTGATAAATGTGTTACCGTGGACCAAAATAAACTTATATAATAAGACAAGTCTCAGATTCTGAGATTTCCAATGCCCTTCAGTCTCAGTCTATTGGGGATTTAAAAGCCCCTGGACCTGATGGCCTAAATGCGCTTTTCTACACGAATTTCTAGGACATAATTAAATGTTCTTTCCGTGAGGTTGTTAGAGCCTTCTTCCATTCTAGGAGGTTATGCCCCATTCTTACCAAAACCTTTGTTGCCCTCAKTCCAAAATCTGACAATCCAGAAACCGTTAACAACTACAGATCTATAAGCCTATGCAATGTAGTTTACAAGGTCAACAAAATTAAACCGCTTTTAGAGRACTTGATCTTCCCGTTTCAAAGTATATATTTTTTTTCAGAATAAGCAAGTTAATGATAATATTTTGATTGCCCATGAAATGATTCATTCTGTGAAAAAGAATAAAAAGGAAAAAAAAAAGAATTATGACATGTAAAATTGATATAGAAAAAGCCTATGATAGGCTTGAATGGGATTTCAATGAAAAAGTCCTTAGGAAATTTGGTTTTCATGAGAAATTGATTGAATAGAACATGGAGTGTGTTAAAACGGTGTCTTTCCAGATTTTCATACATGGAACTYCCTCTAGAGAATCCATCCTTCTAAGGGGATAAGATAGGGGGACCCTCTTTCTCCATACTTATTTGTTTTGTGTGGAATATCTGAAAGTCCTGAATACCAGATTGGATGCAAAGCTACTAAAGAGTGTCCCAAAATTCTTATTCTTCAAATTGCTGATGATTGTCTGATCTTTGCTGAACCAATTATTCTGGCCTGTTGCAAAATCAAAGAAATTTTGGAAAGTTTTGCAAAAGCGTTTGGGCAAGCTCCTAATTAAAAAAAAAAAGGTCAACAATTATTTTTTCAAATAACTACCCCTACAGATTCCAAAAAAAATATATCTAGGATTCGGAAAATTCCAATTCAAACTAATATAAATTTTTATCTTGGAGCTCCCATAATTAACTCAAGAGTTACAAAAAGTTCTTTTAAATATGTGCTTGATAGAGTTAACAGTAAACTTGCAAGTTGGAAGAGAAACACTCTTTCCCTTGCAGGAAGAATAACTCTGTTAAAATCAACTATCAATATGATGCCTCAGTATATAATGAGATCTTTTAAATTGCCTATGAACACCATCAAGGAGATTGACAAAGCCTAGAACAAATTTTTGTGGACTAATTCGAATGATAGAAAGGCTTTGCATCTGATGAATTGGAAAAAAGTATGTATAGGTACATGATGGTCACTTGGACCATAAGAGCATAGAATGTGCTAAGTCAATATTACACAAATGCCTGCAATGAGTTCATAACTTGACACACATCTGYGATGAATTCGGAACCCGCGTAGACATGCAATGAGTTCATGACCCGAAATGAGTTGCGATGAGCTCAAGGCCCGCACAGACTTACAATGAGCTTAAAGCCATCGCACAACTCATCGCAGCTTAGAAATGAGTAAAAGAAATGTGCGTGTCACTAATAACATGCGTGATGGGACGCCTCAGGATTAGAGAGCAGACGTGAGATAAGTAGAGACTTCACCCGTGCCACGTCAGTCTAAGAGGCTCGCAAAAGCAAGTAACACACGTGTATTATGTGAATCCTCAGACGAAAGGAAATGTCATACTTGAAATATCTCATAAGACACGTGGTGAAACCCTAACAATGTTCCCTGATAATTGACATTGAATCCAAAATTCCCTTCYCTAATGTGAATCAGACACTTTTGACTCATTTCTTTCGGGACCTCAGGATCTCTTCCTATAAATAGGGGTCCAACTCATAACAAGAATCATTCCTATCACTTCATTCACCATAGCCTTTAGGAAAATACTTAAGGAGGGAATCTTTCCTTAATGTTGGGTGCAAAAAAAGTGTCTTGTGGGCTTGGAGGGGGATCCTCAAGTCAAGGGAGCTTCTTAATAAAGGTCTAGGGTGGATCATTGGTAATAGAGAGGCTATTAACTTTTGGAATGATAGGTGGGTGGGGGAAGAACCTCTTGATGGATCTTATCATGATTCCTATCATAAGGATGATAATTTGAGGGTTGGGGATTTCATTGATCATGAGAGGAAAGTTTGGAGGGAGGAAAAAAATTAAGGAAGTGATATCCCAAATGACTGGATCAAGATTAAACCTCTTTTTACCCCAGCTGGGGAAAAGGAGGACAAGATAATGTGGAGGTACAATCCAAATGGTGTTTTCACTATTAGATCAGCTTACAAGGTAATTTGCAAATTGCTGATTACTAGAGAGGAGGCTTTCAACTGGAGATCTCTAGCTTGGAACCTAAAGTGCCAACCTAAATTAAAGGTCTTTTTGTTCTTACTTCTAAATGGCAAACTTCCGTCAAAAGTTAATTTAAGAAATAGAAGTTTTAAAATGGAGGTTGTTGTTTCTGTGGAGAAGATGAGGATGTTGATCATGTATTTAGAGGTTGTAGTGTGACTTCGCAAGTCTAGTCAGCTGTAAATAATAACATTATGGGCCTCAATGAGTTAGTTAATGACTTAAAGGGGTGGTGGACTAAAATTCATGAAGAAGACTGTAAGAATAATTCAAAGATGAAGGAGAGAGGGGGCGTTTCTCTTGTGGTTCATTTGGAAGAATAGGAATAATAAAATATTTTTAGATAAGTCGAGTCCCCCCAGAAGATTATTGAAAGAGCTCTAAATGCATTCACAGAGTATCGTGATTTGAGTGAGGAGCCAAATCGAGGAGGCAAGGAGAAGATCCGAGAAATGTGAGGTGGTGTCAGCCTAAGGAGGGGGAGATCAAGATAAGTTTTGATGCTTCAAGGCTTATCAATGGTATATGTTCAGTTGCTAGAAACGGTTCAGGGGAGATTATTGATTACAAGGGCTACTCTTTGGGTGTGGCTACCGTCAACATTGCAGAAGCTTGGGAGGCTCACAACTTAGCTGCCAACTTTAGAGGTTCTGAAGTCGTCATTGAAGGTGATTCRAAGCTTGTTATTTCTTGTCTGAAGAGCCATAGTTCCCCTTGGAATTTCAAGAACATCAACCAAGATTGCACGAGGATTAGAGACCTTCTTGAGCTTAGAGTGAGATATGGGCATGCCTTCAGAGAAGGGAATCAAGCGCCTGACTTGCTAACCAAGCTCATTCTTGTCATGACTATATTTTCTTGGACTTTAATTTGCCTGGTGCTTTAATTTCCATTTGTAAGGGTGATATGTGTGGGGTCGTGCTGCTCTTGTCTTGTGTAGCATTTTTCCGTTTTATCAAAAAAAAATTGAAAAGTACACCCAATACAGATTTCTGAATTCCACTATAAAACTATAAACATTCAAAATATCAAAAACTTTTGTTTCATACACTCATGCCCACTCATGAATTGACATCAAATTCAAACCACGGCAACTGCACTTTGGGCATAAAAATTCTGACTTGGGCTAAACCGTCTTTCTCCAAAAAAATCCGTACCCCTCGTAAGAAGATAGCATGGAGAAAATCCCCAGTTGACCCAAAGAAGAAAATTACTTAAACCTCCCTCCCTTAGATTGTGACGAATGGTTAAAATTTCCGTACTTTTGACATTTGTGAAAGGCAAACCACTGCTTGTCTGCTTCCACCAACTCAAACATTATTATTGTTTCTGAAATTAATAGTGTTGTGCTTCCATCAGTTTTGTGGGCCGCCCGGCTTTGGAGGGCCGAAACTACTCGCCACGAATTCCCCAATTAATTCATGAAATTAAACTGTAATTTTGGTCATCTTCCTTCCAAATTTTTTCCCACAAAATCTGAACTATTTGAATGCTTCTCGATGAAATGCAGCTTCCCATCTCTCTCTCTCAACCTACTTTTCTCCTCTTGATTGTTAAAAAAAAAAAGTAGATGACGTCAAGAATCACGGAATTAATTAGGAAGGTGGTCAGTCAATGGGAGCAGAGGATGTGGAGGCTGGCGAAGAAGCAATCTGGTTCATTTTAACTTTAACAATGGCGAAGGAGTTTAGTCTAGTTCATATCTAAACAAAAGAAGCTAATAAATATCGACTGTTTAAAGTTATTCAATTAATGTTTCTATTATAAGAAGCTCGATCTATCTCATAAACGACGACGACGGCTGTTTAATCTGAACAGTATGAGGAGAAAAATCAAGGGTTACCTTGTATTTGTGGTACTCATTTGCTGCTTCATCTCCCGTGCTTTTGTCCGGCATTTTTCCTGAAATGTCGGTAATCAAAACCATGATGGATCGAGATCGAGTAGTTCGAAGTTAATCATCATAAATGTTACGTTGAAAATCTGTAGATAATAAATGGAAGAAAAAGACGAATTTAATTACCTTGGTGAGTGAAGATATCCCACACAGAGGGTGATCTTCCGTCTTCTGCTACCGCACCTTCAGCCTGCAGACTCATCAACCCACTCATCGATTATGAAAACCAGAGCCTTTTCTTCAAAATTTTTCTTTTCTTTAATTTCTTTTTGTTTCTTTGACGCCAGAAATGGTTAATTACAGACCTGATAAGCTGAAGTTCCGGCACCGAAAACAAAGTCGGAGGGGAAGTCATCTCGGCTAAATTTGGGTCTCTCTTGGCCCAAACCTCCTACTGATACAGGTAGATTCTGAATTCCACTGTACACCTATAAATATTTACAATGTCAAAAACCCCATTCTATCATGAAATTGACATTAATTCCGATCTGACACCCACCCAACTGTACTTTGGGCTTATAAAGAATGCATGCAACGGTGGAATAAATGAAGAATGCATGCACACTCTTTATTTTCCCTTGTATACAATTATATACGGGAGATGCTCCCAATGTACGGTAGGATGTGCTTGTTAAGTCATTGAGAGATTATGCGCTGTAAATCTCAATATCTACGATAACACATACACGTGGTGGTGTAATAGGTGAGATGGGATCTTCTCCTCACACAGGGCGCTCACACGCACATCCTACCATGCAATGGGAACATCTCCCGTATCCGGTCTCGTAATAGGTACACGTGGTGGTGTAATCAGTAATATTATAAAAAAAGAAAAAGGTAAATTACAAAGGTTCATTTATGATATTACCCCTGAGCTTCCGCTTTGCAATAAATAGGTGATCCAAATGAAATGCATTAAATTATCAAAATACCCACCTAACTTTTCTTGTTTTACATTCCTCGCCCACCCATTTCTGTGGATATATGGAGAAAATTATTAGAAGAATATTACAATATAGGGAGAAAATGAACTTTAAATAAGTTTATCTTCTAAAATTCTTAGAAACCGAAGTTATTTTTATGATATTGTGACAATAATTACGGTTTGGAGTTCGTCATAATTCAAAAATCCAGCAAAAACAATTGATACGAACTTCAATTGAATATCAATCTCCGTCAAATTATTCACTCACTTTTTCAATAAACAAACAAAAAAAAAAAATCAAATGGAACCTAAAATTTTTATCTATCAAATGAAACTTCTACACCTACAAATTTATAAAGATCTATTAAAACAATTAAGAGGCTGTCAACATTATATTTAGAAAGCTAATTGAATCATAAACCATTCAAATAAATAAGAAAAGGGTTGTTTGTAAATTTAAAAAATTTTAAACATCTGAATGCACGAGAATTTTTTTCAAAGTTAACTCATGGAACTCTAATGAACAGGGGTATTTGTCACAAAGTAAAAATTCAAGAAGTCTTTATTGCAAATGAAAGTTCAAGGGCCGGGTAAATGTCAAAAAAAATCCAAAAGAAAAAAAACACTTTTCAAATTTACCCAGGAAAAAAAAATCAAAAAAATTCAAGAAGTCTTTCTAATTTACCCAGGAAAAAAAAAACACTTTTCAAAAAATCCAAAAGAAACAAAAGGCCCATTACTTGGCTACAAAACACACAATAGGGGTGGACCCTCCCCTAAACTCCTAGACCACCCAAACCAAGTGGAACTCAATCCCAAGTCTCCTCTCGGCTAGAAGCAACCATAGACTTTACCAACAACCTGAGTAAGGGATGGGGAAGAGCAAGACATACTTGAGGCATGTTGGCCATACAGGAGAGACGTCAAGTGACTATATCATCTATGGGATTGTTTGCTATGCTTAATTGGACAAAACCAATCACAAAATGTTAAGAATTTAAAAAGATCTAGGCCATCAAATATGTTTCTTAATCAATGAATAAGTCAAAAATGATATAATGTTTTATAGTAACTAGTGAGTGTGAACATGTTTTGCACGTGCCAATTTTTTATGATGATGATAATAAATAATATGCTTTCAAAATTTTCTATATTTTGTTATATTTCTATGTCAGCAAAAATTATTGGTATTTGTTACACTTATTTTTGTTTAATATGGTGATCAATATACAATAATAGAGATGTGTCCAATTGTTCTCTATAAACTTTTTATATTTGTTTTACTTCTATGTTTTCATCTTTTTAATTTTTATTATTATTTAACTATGACATAAAGGGTTGACACATTTTAACTCAAAAAATTGAATTGTTGACTCGCCACAAACAAGAAAACAATTCTGTTTTGGATTGGATTTAAATTTGAATTTTATTTCTGTCATTAGTAAATGCAATTATTCTTTGTGAATGAACCAATGGGAGTTAATACCTTTAATACAAGACTTAATAGGTGGGAATTGAATGAAAAAACCGAAAAATGTAATAGCTTAAATTACATTATGTGCCCTCACAATTAGAGAGGGATCAAATTCAAAAATAAGGGTATTCTAGTCAAGAACATGATTCAATAAATGTTAATGAGAGTTAATACCTTAAATATAAAATTTGATGAGAGAGATAAGAATGAGGAAAAAATAGTTATTGAAATTATATTTCTGTCCACACAATTAGAGAGGGATCAAATTAAAAAATTGAGATACTTTAATCAAACAAAAGTTTCACACTTTTGATAATAATAGTATAGATATAGATAATAATATAGATTTGACACTTGAATTTAATGCTATTGAYGTAAATAATTGATATTTGAGATGAATTTCCCTTATGTACCTATGCATATTCAGATCATTCCACTTTATTGTATATCATGAATTCAGGATTTGTATCATAGAATTACCTTATTCAGCACTAAGCGGAGTTTTAATGAAATTCAAATTATTGAGATTGGCATTAGAATACACATATAAGATAAGGCTGCAACTTGGGACGGGTTGGCCCTAACCCAACCCGATGGGCCAGGTTGATGCTCAGGTTAGGGTTAGGGTTGAAATTCATGAACCTGACTTCATTTCGGGTTGGGTTAGGGTTTACCCCTTAGACAACCCTAAACCGACTCTATAATATATGTCATATATAAATATATGTTATATACATTATATTATACATTGATTTATTTAGATGTATGATAGTTGGATAGCCCTCACTACATACTATCATGCCTTTCTTTTAAGATAATCACTTCACTTGATCCCAAATGAAAAAACTAAACCTTAATAACATATTTTATGTTTTTTGAGTATTTTATTCTTCATCTCCTCTCTAATGTTTGCCGTGCACAAAAGATCTATCATAAGTTATAATAAACTATAGTCATTTCAAGCACTTATTTTTCTGAATTTTGTACTAAAAGAACCAATAAAAACATCAAGAAACAAATACAAATAAAAACATAGGATTAATATACATAGTGAAAACTAAGTTAAGATTTGAGATTAAATGGTTTTATGAGATTTTAAGGGATGGGAAATAGGTTGGGTTGGGCCCAATCCGAGTCCAACCCAACCCAACCCGAAGTTTTTTTTTTTCGTTGTTGGAACCTGAAGTTGACTTTGGATTGGGTTGGGTAGATCGGGTTGAAGGTCGGATTGGGATAGGATTAGAGTTGGGGGTGTAGAACTTAGGGTTGGGCTCAACCCAATCTAACCTGGCCCAACTTGCACCCTACATATATGATAATCAAATTCCATTTTGCTAATAATTAAATTTCATTAAATAATTTAAAGGAAAATTAGAGAAAATTATGATTTTGGCTTAGTAAAGGAGGTTTCAGAGATAATTCCCTGAAAATAGTTTATTAACTTCTTTCCATATTAATTAACAAACTGTATGACGTGGTTTCAGATGATGCCCTATTCTTGGACTCTTAGTTACATGAACCATACGCCGAGAAAAATGATGAACTACTCTGCAGATGAATAGGATTTGGCCCTCATCCTCCATGTCTTGATGCTTTTGTTCTTGAGGAAATTGGAGTACCACTGTGCTGAYAATTTGGGTTGTCTCCTAAACTCGTTATGGAAGTCCACATGAACAAGCCCATAACGTGTCTGATACCCACTAAGAACCTCAAACACATCTAAGAACGACCAAACAAAGTACCCTTTGGTGTTTGATCCATTCCTACAAATTAAAACCATAAACAAAGTTAGAATCCTTCCAAGAGAAAGCAACCCCATATTCTGAGATGATGCTCAAATAACCCATCAGAGTTCCACCTTATGGCATTAARYATGCTTTCCATGAATCCATTCATGTAATCTATCCTGGCTGTGTCGTTAAGCGTCTCGTTTCTTGGCGCACCATAACCTGATCACAGATGAGATGACAATTAAGAAAAGTTCTTGGTGGATATATAGTGTGTTGCAGAGAGAGATTGATTGATTGGTGATTGTGTTAATGTGATGAGAGTCATGGGATGTTTCCCTAGGCATATATGAAGCAATGCTGAACYGCAGTTGATCCGGACGGTTAAACCGTTTGGCCAAGGAATTGTCCAGGCAATTTGTCTCATTTTACCCTAAACTTGATACTTGACCAAAAACCATTGAATTGGTCAATGACCTATTGACTTGGGTGATCGAATTGTTGACCTATTCGACAGTTTTAACTATTTTTCATTTCAATTATTGTTTTTAATTTTTTGCCAGATTGGGTCGTCTGTTCAAACCTAACAGTTGAACCTTTGACCCAAAAACTGATGGCTAATTAAAATGATTCCAATTTTGGGTCATTTTTTAAAACATTGTGATGAAGGCATATTTACCATTTTCTTGAACATAAACGGGAGGGTTGCCATAATAGTTCTTGAAATATTGAAGCAATTCCTGCAAGCCATCTGGGTTGAAGGTCGGAGAATCTGGTGAGAACCCACCCGAGGGTGTGCTATCTTTATTCACTGCAATTCATTAATTGTTGAGGAGAGTTAAAAGATTTGTTGTTTCCACAAACATCATCTAGATATATGCTCTAGAATATTACTGATCAAAAGCGTCGAGAATGGAACCTGAAAACTTTACAGCCATGTCTAGATTGAAATCTGGAGGTCTTATGGTCGATTTGTTGGAGTCATCTTGAATGTAAAATGTGAAGTAGTGATTCAAACCGATAAAATCTGATGACCCTTTTACAAGTTGAGATTGGCGTTTAGTGAAGGATGGGAGCCTTGTCCCAACTCTCTTCTTCATGATCACAGGGTAGTCTCCGAACACCAGAGGATTGACAACCCTGCATGCAGTTTCATGCTTGATCAACCCAAACGAGCTGCTTCAATTCTCAGGATGTAAGCTAGTTTGATGCATGAAGAGAACAAGTACTATTGTTTCTATTAACTTACCAACCGTTGAAGAAATCAATGGCTCTTTGCGACGCTACAACGTCTGCAGGGGAGTTTGTCATAGGACTACACCAGAAGGCATACACGTTTAAGCCTATCCAACCATTTTGCTTGGCCTGCAAAATACAACCAGTGCTTAGTTCCTTGGTTTCGATCGATATGAAGTCCTATCTTATTTTGTTGGATTTAGGTAGCTCCATTTTGGATCTTCAGATTGAATCAGATAATAGGACCTCATCAAAAATTGAATCGAATTTGGATCACTCTTTTATCCAATCTGAGAGGATTCGAACAGAGATATACACATATTTATTTATTTATTTATATAAATATAACATATACACATATATATTGTACTTTTGTAAATTTGTTATATTATCTTTTATAAAAAACATGTATATATGATTAAAATAGTTGAAAAGATATTTGTTTATTTTTATTTTTTTTATTTAAATCGTTATATTTTATTTTTTGTTTAATAATTTATTAATTTTTTAAAAAATTAAATTGAAGCAGATCAAATTCAAATATCCAACATCCTTCAAATCAATATTTGTGAGATCCAATCGAATCGGGTCTACTGTTCATAGTTTGCATCCCTATTGGTTTGTCATTCCTTTCATCAAGATTCAGAGGTAATTAAGAAGGCACTCACTTGGTATTTTTGTCGGTACAATGCAACAGCTGATGCATGGGCTAACAAAATGTAATGCACTGCAGTGTAGGGCTCCACAGAGGAGTTTCCAGCTGAGCAGTTGAAGACACCACCCGGAAACGAGCACCGCCGGGGAGGGAATTGTCCGGTGTCATAGGATGCAATAGCCATGACATTGGGCTCATTGATGGTGGTCCAGTAGGAGACCCTGTCACCAAATTCTCTAAAGCAAACATCTGCATAGGCTGTGAAGTCATCCCTGTTTTAAAATTAAATCAAATACTCTTATATACACAAACAAACCCTAAACCCTAAGTCCTAATCCAATGTTAAAAAACAAGTATCACAAGGAACTAACACAATATTGGGGCTCAACCATCCTCCATATTCATCCTCTAGTATTTGGGGAAGATCCAAATGGAAGAGGGTAGCGTGTGGTTCAATCCCTATTTGGTCAACATGAAAGAAGTTAAAGAGAGAAATATTGTTATATATACCGTCTGACCAAGAGCCTATCATCAAGTAATTGGATTGGCGAGTCAATCCTATATTAGCCTTACCATGGGCAATCAGTTCATTAATCAGATTGTTGTAATACTCGAGGCCTTTTGGATTAACTGCTCCTCTTCCATCTACCACCGTCAAACACAATACTTTGTGTCATATATCAAACAATATAAGCTTATACGTACTAATATGAAATTATTGAAGTGGGGCTAACTTTGGCTGTTGGGAGCCAACATTATAGGCTGTTGAGATTATTTTTGGAAATTGGATTCAGTCAATGCAGAACCCGTTTCAACAGTTATTATATTCTTGTATTGGGAATATCTTCCCATGAAATAAAGTATAGAAGTATGGAGATATTTTTAATGAAATAAAGCATTATAGGCCTTGCAGTGACCGAAGCCGATTTTTGGATTGGACATTTCGTGTTTTTAGATTGGACATGTTCACTGATTCACACCCATGTCTATGTTATTTGTCGATAGTAAATAGAGCAATTATTATTTTACCCTACTCTCATGATAACGTGACATTTCCAAGAATATTCTCTACGCCAACAGACAAAATATTTCCATCGAAGTGAGGGCTTGAGGCCGGATACATACTTGGGAGGAGTCTTGACCAAGATATGGAGAACCTATAGCCTTCAAGACCTATTTCACTCATGATCTTGACATCTTCCTGCAAGGTTTGTAAATGGAGAGATGAGAAATACTCCTTTTGAGATAGACCATTAACAGAATTAGGGCATTACTTATTTTCAATGATCAAATTAATCATGATCTTTTGTTTAGGCTCAGTTTGGGAAGAGTACAAATGTAAATTTCTAGAGTGCAAAATCTTATATTTTATATTATTTTGTATGTATTTACAGTATACATATTTGTATTTGTACCCCTTCCAAACTGAACCTTAATGATCATTGAAAAAAGAAAATAAGTAAAAAAAAAACAAAAAATATTTTTTGTTTTTTCCTTCAACGTTAAGGTCCCAAAGCTCATTTTTAGATGAAGAGATGAACCCCCAAATCTCAAATGGACTGATAGTGCATGCAAAGATTTCATCATCACACAAATTTGATTTATGGCATGACTTAAATGAAGGGGTATTATAGTAAATTTGCAAGAAACCACTAATCCCTAGCARTAGGGGTTCTACTTGGGAGCTTTGGGTTGGGTTGAGGGTGAACCCAGGCCCAACCCTAAGAAGCTAAGATTGGTCTCAGGCCAGGCCCAAATGGAGCTTAKCTCAACACAACTTAGGTTGGGTTGGGCTGGGACTACGTAAATTGATCAGGTTTGAGGAAATCCTATTGATCTGAGTGGCCAGATGCCCTCAATTCAGAATAACCTTCGTGTATGGATAAATCTTACAGCCGATGGCAATAGCCTACACCAATGGGTAAATATCTTTGACTCGTCTCCCATCCTAGGCCTATTAACAGTTAATCAAACTAATACCATGTCAGCAAGTTATTTGCTTGGTGTGATCAAAATTTGGCAAGGTAGTTGAAAAAATCCGAGCAACTAATCTTACCTTGTGGGACACTTGTCCCTTGATCCAAGAGGCTGAACAAGTCTAGGAGSTTGGTATAATCTCGGATAAGAAGGGCTCTCCCTTCTAACAGTAAATTTTAGTACAATTGAGTGCTGGAAGTCCCATTACAAATAGGGAGAATGACTGATCAGTCCAGGTCAGAATTTTCTAACCCCACCATACAGGGGATGAATCCTGGCCGTGAATTGATGCCAAATTCACGGGCAGGATGTGGTTTAGGGGGGGGGGGGCGAGTAGTAGAGTATGGGGGTTGTAATTCAGATTTCTGTATTGGGTTGCAGTGTACTTAACCCTTATAAATATGGGCTTCTAGTTTAACAAAGGTACAGCACATGTTATGAGAAAAACCTCTCTGGCCGGCTGCCTCCTTGGGTCAGAGATCGTCTTCAATCAGTGCAAGGCCCATTTTAACATTTTTTGAACAGACTTTACAGCCTTGCATTGGGAATACCTCCGTACTTCTGTACTTTATTTCATGGAGAGATATTCCCAATGCAAGGCTATGATGTCTGTTCGAACGGACTTTGCACTGACTGAACCCGGTTTCCTTGGGTCATAATCACATCCTTTGGCTTTGTATTAGAGAATCTGTACAAGTGTCACAGTCCACTGCTATTATTAGAATATATTTTTGTAGGGTCTTTGAAATCTATAATTTTTTTTGTACAACCATCTTTTATAGGGCTTTAAAGCCCGCAATAGAGTCCAACTTAGGAGTAGAATGGATTAAAAATGTTGATAAATTTCATTAACAAATGCATATGTGCATGTTTGATACATATGTACATATATGTGTATGTTTATTCAGGGTGCTCATGGTTCAATTCAGTGGGCTTATTTTTAAAACCGAACCAAGGTTACCAGTTTTCCATTGAAACCAAATCGGATCTGATCGGTTAACCGGTTGATCAGTTCGGTTCATCGATTCATTAGTTTTTTATTATTTACAATATATATTATAAAAAATATGTAAATATATATAATAAAACACTAGAAATATATATAAAATATTATATTTTAAATAATAAATAATATATTATATACTATAAATATATAACCCATATTTATTAATTCATAATGTATAGAAAATATAAAATATATATAATATACATAAAATATATATAAATATATGTATAGTGGTCGGTTTAGTTAACCACTGGTTTTCTATTTCGGTTAACCGAAACCAAATCAATGCCATCAGTTTTTTTTTAAATATCGAACTACGGTTGGTTCAGTTAACTGGATTTTCAGTTCAGTTTCGATCAATTCGGTTTTTCTTGCTCGCCCCTAATATTTATGTATATATAATTAGAAATGACATTTTTATATAGATATATCTGTACTTGTTTGGGTGGACTTGGATTGGACCGAGCGCAAACTACCCAAGGCCTTAATCCAAGGCCAACCCAAGTTCAGGTCAGCCCTGAATTTTCTGACGTCCAATCCCTGCAAAAGATTAGGGATGGCAATTTTTCCCATTTCCCTGATCCCTGTGGGGATCCGCCCCAAATGGGGTGGGGATGGGGATGATTTTCCCCCCATAGGGACGGGGATGGGGAAATTTTCATCCCCATTAGTGGGGACGGGGAGAGCACTCCCCGCCCCGCAGGGACCCCGATCCCTGCCCATGGGATCCCCACTAATATATATGTATATATGTATGTATACGTTATATATGTAAACATATGTCTATAAATTAATGTTTTAAAAATATGGTTGAATATGTTTGAATCTTTTTTAATAGATTGTAAATTTTAATTATTATTTTTTTATTTTTTAAATAAAATAAAAAAACAAAAACAAAATTTTTAGCATTATAAAAAATTACGAGGAAAGGGGATCCCCGTGGGGATGTGGATGGGGATAACCTTGTCCCCGTTAGCAGGGACGGGGATGGAGATTTTCGCGGGGATGGGGATGGGGAGAGGCTCCCCGTCCCCGCCCCGTTGCCATTCCTACAAAAGATCCATTAGGCTTGGGTTGAAGTTCTTTTCTCGGTGGATGCCAAAACCACATCTTCAATCTCATCTTTTAAAAGTTTATAAAAAATTATCTTTGAAGAGTTCCAGCTTTTTTCTAAGGTTTTAAAAATTGATTCAAAGACCGAACTGCTTTGGTGTCCAGTTTCTAAATTTATGATTTGACCGTCCAATCCGAATGAATCAGCTCTAAGTTTCCAAGTTTGGTGTCCAGTTTCTAAGTTAATGGTTTCTCTAGGCGAAGAGAAACCACGATCTGGGACTCCAAGTCATTACTTAGGTGGTGTCTATGTGTCAATTAGTTGTTCCAAGATGCAATGTGTCATGATGTCATTGGAGAGCCAAATCCGCCCTCATCAATTGCCCCCCACTCCCGAGCTGAGAGTAGCTCGGCGAAGGGAGGAAATTGCTCCTTTTGGCCTAAGATGACTGATTCAATCAGTTCGTAGTCGTGAGCATTGGTCTAATTTACTTCTCAGATCGGAATAGTTTGAGTGTTTGCTACCTTAGCAGGACCTCACTATCTTGATTCTCGGGGCACGAGAGCAAACTCATCCTCTCGAGGAAAGGTGAAGCAGGTACCCCGAGGACATCTACCTTATTAGGGATGTAACCGTCAAGGGGTTCTGCAATCTGACCATTACCTCGAGAGTGAAGCTTACCATGTTGTCCTCAAAGGGGGGTTCTAACTATGTGACTGCTTTATTAGGTCGCTCCACCTAGGTAGACTTTGACGTAGTGTCACTCGAATTGGTTCTCAAAAGAGTAGCCAAAGAGTTCGACCCAGAGCCTAAAACCGAGGTAGAGGTCTACTGTGAAGAGATTAACCAAGTTTGYGTTTGTCATGGTGCCCAACTGGTATGCCGAATAGGTGTTGCATTTTGTCCTCCACTCCATTTCATAAAAGTTTTCTAAGTGTGGATTACCCCGAGTGGCCAAATTGTATGCACATCGATGAGGCTAAACATGAACTGCTTTTTTATTTTGCCCATGCCAAAGAGGCGACTAGGTATATGCCCAAGCTGACGTGGATAAGTGTGGATTACTAACAAAGTGTTGGGCTAACGAGCTAGGCTCTAATAGGAATAACCCGATCTCAATGTACGCCGAAGTGAAAAGACCTTGTAGAGTATGTGCTCGTCCTAACTGCGCATAAGCTATTTTTTTATTTGCCCATACCGAAGAGGCGACTGGGTCTCAATGTGGTGTTGAGGTCTTTTATCAGCTCGGCACCTTATCTCTTGGGCTCTGAGAGCGACTCACGGTCCACTCTCCTTACCCTTATTTAGCTGACGTGTGACCTGACCTTTCCGCCTAAGCGGGTGGTCATTTTGTAGTAACTTCTCATATGGCAACTTCTACATCATCCCGTGGGATTATCTTCTTGGGTGAGTGCTTGCGAGACCACAACATACATGTTCTGCCCCCCTTGCGAGGGCATAATGTTGTTGTCAGTGTGAGTTAGCAGTTCAAGGCCACAGCTGCACAACATTAGCCTCATTAGTGACACCAGTCATCCACTCCTATAAGAAGCCACTGAGAGCTCGACCTACGGGGGTAGCACTACTGACTTTAGGTAACTAGCTCGCATGGGAGCCTTGGAAGGCATGACCTGCAAGGGCGTCCATGCAATCCGTTGGCCGCCAACTCCTGTGGAAGCCACGAAGAGCTCGTCTTGTAGAGGCGACCTCGCGAAATAGGGCTGATGAGGCCTCGTCCTAGCTGATTGCTATTGAGGATGAGTTGAGGATGTTCTGTTGTTGTCTACACCAGGCTTCTCCCATGCTCAGATCTGGAAATTCATACTTCATTTCATAGAACTACTACGCTTCAATCCTGGCGGGAACCACTGATGGCTCTACCGCGGGGAGAGGGGCATTCACATACAGTAACGGTGCATTTATCTAGGGCACTAGGGATGCTGAGTTTGGCCTGAACTTGTCTGCTTGTCACATGGGAGTTCTCTAGGTTCATCATAGGTGTTTTTGTCTCCCAATAATCAGTATTCGTTCTAGGTGTTTATGCTGCTCAAAAGTTCCTTTGAGTTCATAAAAAATGAAAATTAAAAAGTGAAAACTTTTGTTTCTAAAAGGTGAGATCTTAGCTTTTTGGAAGAAGAGGACTTAGCCTTTTAGAAGGTGAGAA